ACCTACTCTGAGAAACAATGCATAAAACTAAGTAAATCTTACTGACTGATTTATACACGGAATGCAGAAAGGGAAAAAGTCAGTGTCAGTATAAAAGCACCCTAGTAGTGATCAGTTTGAATAAAGTACAGATGAGATCAAAGTAAATTCAAACTTAGAATCAGACGAAAGAATGGGTTTTTCAGCACTTGCAGATAAATTCTTGTAATGAGTACGGATAGGCATAGAAATTTACTCTGCAGCTTACTTCTGACCAGCTTATGATTACATCAGAGAGTAGTAAGCCAATTTTTGTTCTGAAAGTTAACTGTAGATGAATAATGTGATACATCTGCAATTTTTTGATCTGATATTGTGTTTCTAGCTTGTCCCAATCGAAATTATGGTTGTACTCGTCTGTATGCACTGATATCAGTGATGATACGTCATGTCGTTTCACCGCTATTTGTTGCTCATAGATTTTTTAGGCTATTCAACGAGTGGATTGACCAACATAATGATGTTGACAACTCTTACAAATAATTTTGTAGACTCTATTCACCTTGTCTTCATCCACTTTAGCCTTCATGAAATATTCTGCAACGATTTGGTTTCTTAGTGTGCGAAGCTGATACCCAACGAAGGTGGTAACTATTCGATAGTTTCTGGGATATCATTGGTACATAGTAAACCTAAGAGACAACCAAACAATTATCAAATACCCTACAGTGTTTACTGTAATACTGAAAACTAGTTCCTACTAATGTCATAAAATTCAGTGAATCAGTTAAAAAAACATTGAAAGTAATTCCAGTTTATTAGCAATACAATATAGATTCCAATTCATTATTTCTAGTTTGTCAGTCAGTTACAGTCAAATAGTTTCAGTTGAATGGCCTTATAAACTATCCTCCGTGCATATATTAGCAAAAATGAAATTTTCACCTCTGACCTCAATCAAGTTTTTGAGAAATGACAAGATTTGCGTCCGTATTTTTCACAGAAAAATGTCGATCAACTGTCTGAATAGATAACATTGTATTTGCGAAAAACTAGTAGGTTAGAATATTTAATTGACGTCTATGGCACAGAAGTCACATGAACAGATAAAATAGTCCGCTGAGGGAGATAAGTATACAGATATCACCGTCAGCAGTTTAGAAGATTCTTATCTAGTTATTAGTTGATGATTTCATTATTTTGGTCACCAGTTCACAGATTTTATGCTTAGGTCCAATCAGAAAAAACAACAGAATACTGCAACTATATCACTGTCATTTAGGTTGACAATATCTTTAATCAACTTTGGTTGTGATACGATATGAAGTGTTATACTTAGATAGGAGTCAGTATGGTTCATACAAATCGGTAGAATTGGAAAATTAAAGTTGGATGATTGTATGATAGTAACAACGTACAATACTAACTGGATAATCCTTTTTCTTGATTATTTTCTCGTTAGGAATATTCCGTTTCAAGAAGAATAACAGAGTAAAATAGAAAAATTTATTGGAACACAATAATGTTGAAAATGTGTAACTTTTCGTGATCTCTTTTAGAAACACCAAAAATGAAAATAGATGTAGAAAAGTCGACCATTATTGTGTACACTGAGTGAATTCGTCTACTAGTATCACTCTTAAATGAAAGAGATTTTTAATGGGAATCGAAATTTTTCCTGTTCATTGCATGTCTTACTCATATTAATTTACAGTTTTAATTATTTTCGTGAGTAAACAGATGATGTTTTTCAAAAGACATACTCGCTTTTGTTATCATCTTTTTTGAATATATCTTGGTTATTACAGCAACAACAACAACAAAAGTTAAATTAGTATTTAACAGTTAGTTCTTTCTGTGCTGAATTTATTCAACAACAAACTCATTGCTTAATTATCCCCTAACTTAAGTCTTAGAGACGGAGTAACTTAGTGGACATAGCGCTGGTGTTTGAAGTAGTGAATGCTAGATTTGAATTTCATTAATACTAATAGCACTGATGTGGATACATCTAAATGATACATCTGGGGTAGGAAAGGCACAGACTATGGATTTCACACTCAGCGAATGCTAAATAATAAACGATGAGTAAAGTTAAGTTCAACATAGAGAAATTCATTCAAGGAGTTATTGAATGCAAGTGAATTCAAAAAACAAGAATTTAAAAGTATTGTCTTTATTCTATGCATAAGTTCATCATTGTTGCTATTAAACATTGCTACCTTACTGAAATATGATCTAAAATTACGAAACTTTAGTTGTTTTATTGTATCACTTAAAGACTTTTGACTAATCTTCTAGGTTATGCCAAGAAACTTGAAATCTACAAAATCCTTTTTGACTAGTACTACTTTGTATTTAGCAAAAATTAAAACTTATCAGGAAATTCATCTTCCTTGACGTCTTTCTAAGTGACCTTGGCATACCGTTATACTGTCCGAATCAAAGAAAACAGAAATTCCAGATAAGTATGGTTGGTCTTATTATTTTGGTGGTTTCGTAATACATTTTACCTGAGGTTTATTTTTTAGTAATACTTCATGGTACACCTTATGGGTTTTTACTGACCATCGTTCTTTTCCTTGAGATCCACGGTTCTGATATAACTGAATGTTGAATGGAATTAATTTTAGCGCCTAGTTAGGTTTTCTATATATGAAATCAGTCATTTTGGTGAATTATTGCACAAAGTGAACGTGTGTACCAGTCACATATTTGTATCACTCAGGATAAATAATATAAAAGGAGAACAAGTACCAGCTTTGTCTCTAATTGTAATGAGGTTAGAGGAGTGAGGGTAAAAAGTGAGTGGTTTAGAGACTACCCTAAAAACTGCTAAAATAACTAATTGTTTTCTATAACTTTTGAAAAATTACCTTACTTGATTGGTTATTTCAACGACTGCTAGGATGGCCTTCACAGTCATTCGGATCAGAGTAACTGAAGAGGCAACTCTAGTAACGGTTAAAATAGTCGATTAGATTTCCTTAATTCAGCTGGGAAGGCAGATTTTCATAAAATAAAGAAGTCTGATTGATTATTTCAACTGCTATTAGGATGTCCATTACAGTCACTTTAGGTTATAATTATATTTGGAGTTAATTACTCAAGCAGTCAGAATTATAAAGGAATGAGAAAATCATGTAATCAGAACTTTACCACTTCACAGAGGTGTCACACAATCAGATGTGATCAGAATGTCGACAATATGACATAAAATTCAAGCTTTACAGCTTTCAAATAAGTGAACACCCTTAGTTATATTATTAAATCCAATTCAACTCCTTCTGTTGGAATACATGTCTCTCAAGTGGATGCCTCGATATGGTCTCAGGTTTCATTACAATGTAGTCCGCTAGATAATGGACACTGGTGAAATGCCTAAACCTTTTTTCGTCTCATTCCAGAGAAGTTAGTTGGTTATAACTGAATCCATGCAGTGGTGTTCCTGCTGAGACCTGAACACATCCATTGCTTGGCCGTCATCCATTAAGCCAATGAGTCGTAGGAAACACCTCTTGTGCAACAAGTATCACTTATTATTCACTAGCAATTGTAACTGTTTAATGATTTTTGCGTTCAGAAAGCCCATACGCCAGGAAAGACTGGTCAGTTAGGCACATTAAAGTAGCCAACATCTATTGATCAAGAACTGATTGCCAAGACTTAGTAGCTCAGTGAACAACGCTCTGATGCTTGAAGGAATGGGTCCGAGGTTCGAGTCTTAGTGAGAACACAGTCACAAAGAAGTTCAGTTATACCCAGCTGACGAAAATTGAGTCGGGTGAAACATACGTTCTGCAAGATCATCAGTAAGCAAATTTCATAGCAATACTACAACACTCAGTAGTTGCTTTTCTGTTCCAAATCAATAAAGAGACATATTAATTGAAGTCACAACTTGGCGAAAGATGAACATGCATAGTACATACAATCCTATCGGAGGACATAAAATGCAATTCCACTTGATAACAGCATTATAAGATATCGTTAGGCTAAAAGCAGAACCTACGATAAGCCTCATTATATGATTCAATGCCTTTTCGATTGTCTTTCCAGTGGTGAATTCGGTCCATTTTGTTTTAGGCACCTGACCATCAATTGTTGGACCACATACATGAATTCGGTTCACTCACTTGGACCTGAGAAACCTTGATGGTATTCTATGTTTTCTCTCTTTCGCACACACAGTAGTTAATAATCAAAGCCTAGCCAACGACGTTACATAGCGTTATTACTTGCTTCTCCTAATTTCGATCTCTCATATTATTACTCAATATACTAGTAATAACCCCACAAATAATATACACTAGCTTTTTTATGGGTTAATTACACAACGATGCAATAGCTTGTAAAATAAGGAGAAGGAAATAATAAGGTTTTACGCACAGTTTACATTATCAGTTAATGGAATTCAATGAAATAAGGAGAATTAGGTAGTTTCAGCCAAAAGTCATCTTCTCAGCATTCACAATTTTGTACTCGTTTATGGTTTCGTCGAAAGTTGTCGATTATGGCAAGAAAATATTTCTTGACACCAGTTGACAGCACCGAATTCTGATAAATGTAGTCCTATTACGTTAATTGCAGTTACCTCATTAGGTCATGTTATTCTTTTCTCAAAGAAAACTTGTTAAAATAAAGTCATTTGCCATAAAAAGGTCGATAAATGAGCACTGATTTTAAGTTCATGAAGACTGTGTCATATGATAATCATGATTTGACTTCACGAAAAAACATTTTTTCGAGTGATCATCTTATTCTACGTAGATTGTTAATTATACTAACGATGGAAGAAAGTAAGAGTGACCCTTAAAAGAATTAATACATAAACAGTGAAAATTTCCAGAACTCTATAACTTGCGATAACATTTCCGTACCGGGAAGAAATGAGAGACACACAGCAAAAACAACTACAACAGTTGTACATTGTAAACACATTAACCAAAGGAAACGAATATAACACAAATAAATATTTTTATTCTAAACGCCAAAGTAGATAAATAGATAATGCAACTTACAGTTTTAATCTCATACCAGCAGTTGCAGCTAAATATACTGGTGTATGCTGTTTCTGCTTGGATGATAGACTAGAGGTTAGTTTGTCGAGTTTTGGTTTCAACGCTGTATACGCCTCTGTTGGATCATTTATATAGTTTGATATACCCGGAGCTAAAAAATAATATTTAAAAGCAAACAAGAGTAATACATAAAAGTTGAAGGAAAATCCAACATGTTCATATGTCAATGGACTCATTTTACTGGCATTAAATTGGTTTTCTGAGAGATCTTTACTTTCTAGATGACCATTAAGAATATAAACTGATTTGGTGAACTAGACATTTCAAAAGAAATGTGTCTGAGTTAACGAAATCGCAGTTACAACCGAACGAAGTCAACATTGAATATCAGTTATCATATATTGTCAATACTTTGCAGTTAAAAGAACAGCATTAGTTGGATGCAGTCGGGAGAAACCCTGGATTTGGGTTTCGTATTTATTGGCAGTTGTCAGTGGGGCCTACCTTCAACCTCGAGGAAGTCGATGTCCTATGAGATTTCCGAACCCTCGACACCCACTATTGTAGTCAGCAACGCTACCACCGAGCTAATCAGGCCCTTTGTAGAACTGCATGAGGTCAGTCACGGCTTGAATAGCTCATTCGTAACGACCCTAACTACAGCACTGAGTGACGCGGGTTCGAATCTGAGACACGACATCAGTCCCATAGAGGTTGTGGGAACACCTTGCTGACGTATGCCAAAAACCAAGCAACCTAAGTCTAGGGCTTTTTGCTGATTGCCCTCATTCAAGTAACATCTATCAAAGTGCATCGCAATGTTGAGTCAACTAGGATGGTGGCCGCATTGCTAAATGATCGGCAGAATTAGACCAACACTAGAGAGCATGAAATTGGTTACGATTCAGTGACCAATCAGTGTAAGGAAAATGTTGTTTATTTCCCACATTCGACAGTTACATGGTAACCAAGAAATGTTAGCTCCTTGGGTTCAACTTTGGTAGAACTTCAGAATACGAACTGTTGAATAGCCGTAGACTGTAATCAGAAATCATAACTGACTGGCTTCTAATAATCTTCATAAGGTTTCATCGGTTTTGAACTCTATTCATCTCATTACAGGTTTAAAATTTGTTTTTGCTAAAAGTTAATACGATTTCAAAAATCTATTTAACCCTATCAAGTCAGTAACAAATCTAACATGCTACATTGGAAATCTGCTCAGAAAAAACAAACCACATGACTGTAACTCACAGTAGATGAACCTTTTACAAACACTGCTATTATCAAACTACTTGAGTTGGTGGTGTACAGTGAGAAATTTTTCTCCAAAATTTAACTATGTGTTGTCAAAGGCTTCCTAATATTTAACATTATGTTATGCCTAATGAACGTTTTCTTGAATCTTGAAGTCATTTATCGACTGTTGAATAAAACATTTCTTAAGTTAAAGTTCTTCCAGTTTGGTTTACATTACATTATGCGTTCCATTCTACCCAACGTCAATAAAGCATTCATCAGAATACACCGATAGTCTATGGTTATGAAGTACATCTAAGTGTGCTCTAATTAGTCTGGCTAACATAACTCGTATCTCTACATCTTCTTTAGATTGCTCATCGAACTTCAATAATTCAATTTACAATATGGTCGTTAAGCTTAATGAGTTCACATCGTCAAACATGCCTACTTGGTGTTACGCCTGAATGGAATGAAGGACTAACTGGCCTAGACCAATGCTCTAGGAAGCACCTATAATTCTAGGGAGAATATTGAATTCTTTATGGCCTAAAAGTTTGTCATGAGGTGATGATTGTTTTAAACTGCTTATCGTCAAATGCAAACAATAACACTTGCTGATATTGTTGTTGGCTATTCACTTAACAATCGAATTTGTTATTCATTTGGGGACTTATGGAGAGCTGATTGATTTCAAGGTAGTTTACACGCATGATTGAACACTGCTAGCGAACACTGAACGGCTTTGTGAGGATTCACATTTACTTATGAAATAAAGCTGAATAGCTTTCAATGGTTGTATGATTTCTTATGGTTTCGTATCTGCTTTTGATAAGTTATGGAAAGTATCTTAAAACTGATTCTATGTCATAGCATTATTTGATCGTAAAAAGAATAAGAAATTTTGCATGAAACTAATCCTTCATTTCTATTGCTTAATCATTTAGTCAATAATATAAAGAAAGCTTTATTCACCAGAGTAAATCAAATAAGAAAAATCGAAGAATACAGATGGGTATTTAATTCAAATTTATGGTTCATCTTTGCCATTTGAGAATATATCCACGTCATTCATGTTACTACCATATGGGAAGTTATTTGTTGAACTTTTTCAACTTCAGTGAAATCGTTTTTTCATCGTTCTGATTCCTGATAGCCCGAAAGTAAAACCAGAACATGATTTTAACCAGTTCATAACTTCGAATAAACAGTAATATAAAATATGCTCCATTGTAAGACAGATAAGTTATCTATCTTTGATTGAAACTTTTATAACTTCTATCTATATAACAGTGGTTTAAGTTGAATGTTGTTAGAAAGAATACTCCTTTGAATATTTAAAACGGTTAACATTATTGGTTTGTTAGCTGCTAGATGTGGAATAGAAGACACACTTCATTCCGTCTTAAAATTGATACCTGAAATAAAATAAATTCCATTGTGAGGTAGTATCTTCCTTGAGATACTCTGATGTTCCAGGTGACAGGTTCGATCGCGGATAGAGATATATCCAATTGTCAAGTCTCTAAGAGGATAAAATATGTAGTCTTGACTCAACCGCCATCTGTTATCTAATAATTAGCATCAAAATGAACCCAATGTCGATATTAAGGAATTTACTCAAGGAGCCTATCGGCCAGCAAAGATACGCCAACTTGGTACCATAAAGTCTAAATGATACATTCAGAAAACCTACGATAATTTAAAATGGGTGGCATTTTAAAATGTTTGTCCATTCTAAGGATATGTAATATTGAAAGTCATTGGCAAAGTATGAGTGAATAGGAGGTGTAGCGTTTGTACTAAGTCGAAAGGCCTACTTATACGCTTATGCACACACCTGTGGACAAGAGAAACATAATGACCTAGAAATATAAAAATGGGTTGGGAAATTGAAGCAAACAGTAGCTACTAGTCGTTCAACGTCATTTGATGCAAAAAGTGTATGGAAAAAGTACTCTGGAGATTGAAAAACACACCTACTCTTGTCGCACATATCCACTAATCTAATTTATTTTAGTGACCTAAAAAACGAAGTATTTTTCAATCAAAAATAAACAATGAAAATTCTCTTTCTAATATTTCACTTGATTTAAAAAGTGAAAGATGGCATGATACTTAGTATAAACATATTTTAAAAAGGAATAATTTACATGTTGAACAAGGATCGGATTTCACCTGAATGTAAAGTAACCGCGTATTATATGTTTATAACAACTAGAAATATTTTAACTACGACATCTTAGATTTCACATTTGCTGTTACTTTACACGTGATATGTGAGCAGGTGGTTCAACTTATAAAAAGCTTTGTATTGGGTGTCAGATGGAGGAAAGTTGTTTCACTAATAATTCGATAAAGAGTAACCAATGTCATGGTGTGGAACACATAAGTGAGTGGTAGTTATTTGTTTATTTGTGAGTTATAGCCATTGAGAAGAAATATGACATCTCATTGGACTGGATTTAATGTAACGTATTGCAGAAAGGATGTAAGAAAATTCTTCATCACTGTTTCATGCTTGTAAATAAAAAATTTAAGGCATATCCTAAAACTCTAAAACTCTTTCTTCAAATAATTACCTCCAGCTGCTGATTATGAGACAAAATGTTGATTTGGTTCAAACTACCAGCTGTGATGTACAATTAGGTTGATAGGTGTTAGTCAGTGAATTCTTTACTTTATTGTACTTTTGGTTCTTTCTTGGAGCCGTTAGTCGAAACTAAATGACATAAGAACTGACTGACATAGATGACGATTTCTGATAAGCATGAGTATTTGCGAGAAAAAGTAGTTCTTAACGTTTCCGATGACTATCATTGAACATTTAGCAATTTGACTCCCTTGAACCATTGATCAATACACCATACATATTTTCTTTTTTTTTAATTACATGCTGTACATACATCACAATACAAAAGCGTGGCTTTTGGATATGAAGAGCTTGTTTAAAGTAAGTAATATTCCCTAAGTTAATGGTTATCGTTGTAAACATTTAGAAAGTGAAACGCACTAAGCAGGTAAAAATTTAAACTAATCAGTATACGATTATAAGGAAGGAAGATAGAATAGAAAAGTGATCACTGAGCGCTAGCTATCAGGAACACTATAGGTATGGGTGTACCATCGGTAAGAAGATGGTGGCTTACACTTTTCGACATATTAAGTCACAGAAATAAACTTGGATGACTAGCTTCTGTCGTTCAGAAGTTATTATCAACGACATGCTAGATGATACCATTAATTACCAAAGAAAGGACCCGAGTTTCTGAAATATAGCTAGTTGCACTCACAAAGCTCACGTACTAAGAGACTGATGTATTCGGTCCTGCAGAATCAGGTGAACAGGAACAAGTATTTTGATGTAATTAGATATGAAGGTTGGCTTTCGGTCACTAACTAAGCTAGTGATGACACAGTGATAACTACCCTTATCTCACTGTGGAAGTTTACCTCTTTAGAAGGTCAATAGTTCTCATCTTTAAAATGCAAGTGATTGGAATATCGTCAAGGTAACAAATTCTGGTTAGGCATCTTGTTTGACGCATATTTATTTAAAAATTCAGTAATAAGAGAATTTAATAAATTTTGGTACAATCCTTCAGTAACTTTTTTCACTTACAAGTGGTATGTAGGCAAGCGATACTATCTGCTTTTTTAAACTTTTATTTGACAGAGTTATGTGTGAATGCGTAATTCATAATTTTATAGTCAACTGGCTTAAACAGCGAACCACAACTACTGGAAATATGCACGGTGCATAAGGTTACTTTCAGTTGACTAGAGTTCAGAAAAACGCGAATGCATTATTTACAGTACTCACTATAAAGTTACAGTTTATTCATTCTGGCTACATTGTATTACGCAGTATAGTAATTTTTCGCTTCATCAGATCTGGTGTTGAATTTCAGA